ATGAACTTTAATCTTGACCGCAAGTACTTGAATAGTATAGAATAATCATTATTAGAATTTAGTTTAAAATGTATTCATTATACCTATAGCTATAGTTCTAGCTTATTCTAAGCAACTTATAAAATCATTTTTCAAATTTATTTATTTTTAGTTTTTTAAATAATACTTCAATATTATAAGTTAGGTCTTTTGACTTCTTCATACGAAATAATTACTCAAAATGTATGTTATAACAATTAATTAAGTGCAATTTTGTAATTTATCCAATTCTTATTTATTATAATCGTCTACATGTAGTAATTGCTTTACTAATTATGATATATAGCAAGTACACATAAGTAAATTGTTGTCTTTACATAATATGCTTACATAATATAAATCATTAGCACCGAGTAGCATAATAGGTGTGTTTCAAACTATTTCGCGGATCTGGCAAAGAGTAATTTTTTTGAATGTTCGTTGTATCTTGTATGCAATTATTTTGCCAGCTACGTAAATAAAATATAAGTATCCTAAACTAGACAGGTAAACATGCCCATTCTATAAGTAGCGTGCTAAGTGCTAACCTTTATCAAACCATAGTTATAGTATCACTTATTATTAGTTATCAGTTATTACTTATTAATAGAGATGTTACGAACTGTTCGAAAACCGAACTGGAAATTCYAAATAATCGAACCGAACCAAATATCGCAAGTGCGTCGTCGTGCACCCCCGTAATTAGGACACTGAATGATATTGTTATTAACTAGGATTATACTAAAACATATTAGTAACCAACCAATTATTCATATTGAAAAATATATTGAGATTAAAATTGAACAAATATTAAAAATATTTATTGAAATAAAAGGAGACCTATAGTAAATAAATATTTGTATTTTTTTCTGATATTTTTTACCGAGTGTATGAAGATGTATGGACAACGCTCCCACGGGTTACTTTTTACGTAATATTAGTACTCCCCCCTAAAAAAAAAAAAAATTAGCCCTATAGTTTCACTAGTGGCACTGTGTGATACTGTTATTATAATATTATATGGAAAACAGAAAGAAAAGCTATATGTGCCTTGTGCCTATATGGTTAAACAAATGGTTAACGTCATTATTCGGTTAAAATAGACATTGCGTTAGTGTTGACACCATGGGCGCCCATARGTAAAATTTTAAGGAGGGTCAAAATAAAAGAAAATCTCAAATGTAAGAAAGTAAAGATTTAATGTTATTTTCACATATAAATGTAAATATGCATGTTATATTTATATTGTCATATATATATATATATTCCCTATCCCCCCCAATGGCCACTCATGATCGACACACGTGATAAACTTTGAAAGTCAAAATCGAAGAAAAGTAATATTTAACTATTAAGTTTAGATAGGTTGATACCTAATGTAATTATTTATCGAGCTATATATATTATTATGTAAATGCATTTTATAATTTGTTACGCGTACGGCGACGATGATGATGGTTATCACGCGTTTTATAGTACACCATTATACCGCGTTCGTGTACCAGCTGGGTATACACCCTGCATCTACGAGTTATTTTATTTTTTATTTTTACCTCCTACCATGCAGATATTATGATTTATGTTGTTATTCTTGTATACAGAACGATCGTAGTCGCGAAAAAGTAAAGCCGATCTCGGGCAACGATCGTTTCGGAGCGCAAGTTCGGCGGCGGCGGCGTCATTCTAAGAACAGGAAGTACATATTATATTTACCTCTATGTCCGTCGCTCTCGGTAATTGGGCGTCTATACGCGCATCCGCTGTGTAGCGTAACGCGCACGCGCGTGCCATATAATAATAATGCGATACACACACACACCACATCCTCCCATCGTTCGTGAATGCATTATATTAAAATACGTACATTGTACTACAGGATGAGGATAAAGACGCTAATCTTTCCGAACAAATAATGTTCACCGGACGCTCTGCAGCTGTATAGTCATTCTTTTACAGGGTGCAGATTCGTCAATCATGCTCACCCCCTTTTTTTCTTTAATAATGAAGTTATTAAAAATCAGATTTATTTTTTTATTTATTAATTTAATTGTGTCAATACACCAAGTATTTTTACAATGTCGTCAATTTACAATTACGATTTTGTGTTTACATTGTATTTACAAGTTTTTACTAATTTTTTGTTAAATTATATGTCCAGATCCGTGTCTGAATCTGAGGTGTCTTCTTTGGGTTCAAGTAGTATATCCTGTGTTAGCCGTGGTTTTAATTTTAGGTTGACGGATCTTCTGTCAATTTTATAGTGGAGTGCTCCGTCAGCTTTGTGAAGTTTTTCGTGAACATTTTTAAATTGTTACGTTATCCATGCAGAAAGATATGGTAGGCCCGTATCATTGTGGAAAATCTGATTTTTGGAATCTATTTAAATATACCTACCCAAAAACCGTATTTTCAAATTCTTGAGATTTTTTGAACCTCATTAGTGTCCTGTGAAAAAATTTTGTTTTTTAAATGAGAACCAACCTTTTTTACTGTAAATTATTTAGCAGATAATGTTTTTTGAGAATTTTGATGTATCGAAATCAAAATCTGAACAAGTAGTTTCCTACAATCCTACTTAGATATTAAAATTTTTGTACCAACTAATAATCTTTAAAAATCAACAAAAGTAGGTACTATACACCTACCCGTACTATCGGAACTARTATTTATGATACTTACTACTTGGCTCGCTTTTAAAAATTATCTATGTTGATAGATTGATATTAATRATTAATATTTTCAAATCCACCATAAACCACATATATTTTATAAAATTTAACCATCATATGGACCTTTTATATTTACAACACAAAGTTAAATAGTTTAAAAATACTCAATAGAATTTTGATTTCAATATTTCAAAATTCTCCAAAAAATTCTCTGATAAATAATTTACWCTAAAAAGGGTGGTTTTCATTTGAAAAACAAAAGTTTGTCACAGGAAACTTTTATGGTTCAAGAAATCTCAAGAATTTAAAAATATGGTCTTTGAGTGTATTTAAATAGATACCTACCAAAAATCAGATTTTGAATAACTTCATTATTAAAGAAAAAAGATGGGATAAGCATACTTGATGAATCACCCTGTATATATAACGTGTGTATTTTTACAAGCGGTGTAGGGCGTGTATCATACACATAGTATRCATACTCTATCGTCTTAATCTATCCGTATATAGGTTWGATATTAGTATTTTTGCAATTTTATTTTGTATATTGTACTGAAAATTTTTTATTCAAGTCAATTTTTGGCTGATATTATTCGCTTTTCCGGACCGCAATCRAACTACTCGCGGAGCTGTGGACAATAATATATAAGGATAGACACAAAAATTYGTTAAGAATTTCGTACCTACTTCAAACTGGTGCAGTGTTGACGAGAATATAATTTTTTTTTTTGTTTTAGATCATAAACATCGACTGTTAATTACTATAGTCTTGTGTTTGTTGTCTTATATAATAGCAAATGTTTTTAATAAACAGACAGTAAAATTTTGCTGTGAATACTACATAATATAAGCTATATATAGTTATAGCCAGTAGAATTTGCACAGTACCGTAGCCTGTTGGTATGCTAAAATAATATACAAGGTGATTTTTTAAGCATACTCATTACTCACCCCCATTTTCCTCTTAAATATTAATAGTATAGCTACATTTATTCAAATTCTAGATATTTTTTTTGTATATACTTGCCTACTTTTACTTACTCTCAACCCATTTTTAATAAAAATTATAATTTATTATCGGATGAATGTTTATCGAAAATGTCGATGTAATAGGTACCTATATCAAAATAAAATGAGCAGTTCTGAAATATTWAAATAATATTCTGTATGCTCAAAATAATAATCCTTATAAAATGGTTTTATAAAAATATAAACTGTATGTGTAATATTAGAATATGTAGTAACTATTTATTTTATATTTGGATAATTTTTGGAAATTATTTACATCGATAAATCAATTGTAGGTAATTACTAAATGCTAATATTTTAAAACCATTCTCATATACGCTTAACCCATATTATTATCCTTAGTACACAATGTTATAGAACTCAAAAACTAATCGTTAGAATTTTGATTTAGATACGCACGAAAATTCTCCAAAAATATTTATATAATATGTGTATATATCTGCTGAATAATTTTAAAAGCGCAGAAAAAAAACGGTTTCTGTTCAAAAACCGATCTTCGTATTGTCATAGAACCATCTTCTTCAAGTGGTATGAAATTTAAATATCTCAAACACATATATTCGAGGTGCTTAGCACCCCCAAAGTCAAAATTAGTACCTCTAATTAATAAAATATGATAATTTATATTATCTAGATAATATAAAAACGATACAAATATGATGTAATATGACATAGATCTATGTCATATATTATATCATAATATATTTGTATCGTTTTTAATACCTAAAATATTTTTTCAAAAAAAAGTAGACTCGTGCAACCATAAATATTTTTATTGATTTATTATATTTCATTACCTATATATATCTAAGAAAATTGTATAGGAATTTTTTTTTTTAAATTGCTTAATCTGTTTTAATGCACATTTTGCATTATAATTTATAATAGAAGTTTCGTCACTGATTAGTTGATTTTTGGACGGACTTGAACACCCTTTGAGCACTAATCGGATTTGCGCCCGTGGACGCATTATACATATACCTACAKTGCTATGTAATCTGGACGAAAATATAACTAGGGTGATCGTGCTTAAAATCACCCTGTATACAAACGGGTACCTCAATATTATGACTTTTACGTTGCAGGTTACAAGCGCGAGAAAAATTTCGAGCGGATGACTGCAGCTGAAATAAGCGAAAGTGAAAGCCARTGGCGGCGGAAAACGCTGTTCTGGCGCTGCGCATAGGTATTATAGTCACTGCGATGAGTATCGCGACTTTCGACGGATATAAATGGCCCGAAAGCCGAKTACGCACGTCACCGTTGTCGTCCGTCCGTCGGCGCGATAACTGCTCCTCCGCGTYCATCATTCAACAGTTTAACAATAATAAATTAATAACATATTAAATTATATTAATAACATATTAAATTATATTAATTAAATACAAAAGTAAAGACGATTAAATTTATTTTTAAGCGCGCGTGAAATGGCCATCCCGTTACCGTTGTCGTCGCGGCTGTTGTTGTCCTTGTTGTGCGCGAGTTGTTGCGTGCCGCTGCCGTCAGCTGAACGCTTGCAGAAGCGCGGCATTGTAGAATTTAATGGATTTTCGTCTGCCGGACACCAGCAGCAGGAATACGACTTCGGCGCTGGTCACAAACAGCAGCAGGAATACGATTTCGGCGCCGGTCACAAACAGGAACAGGAATACGACTTCGGCGCCGGTCACAAACAGCAACAGGAATACGACTTCGGCGCCGGTCACAAACAGCAACAGGAATACGACTTCGGCGCTGGTCACAAACAGCAGCAGGAATACGACTTCGGCCCCGGTCACAAACAGCAACAGGAATACGACTTCGGTGCCGGTCACAACCTGCAGCATCAAGAGTACGATTACGGTGCCGGTCAACATCAGCAAGAATACGATTATGGTGCCGGTCACCAACAGCTTGCTGTACAGCAGTACGTAGGCCAYAATGACGGTAAGCATAAGCATCCCAAAGTGTCGGTTATCGAGAAAAAGGTACCGGTGCCGGTACCGGTTGATGTGGTGAAACCGGTAAGGTATGTGGTTCAGGTGCCTGTGGATAAGCCGCGCGCAGTGCACGTGCCCAAGCCGTATCCGGTCAAAGTGGAGAAGGAAGTGCCGTACCCGGTCAAGGTGTACGAGCCGCAGCCGTACCCCGTGCAGAAGGATGTCCCGGTGGCCGTCAAAGTGCCTTACGACCGCCCTGTGCCGGTGCACGTTGACAAACCGTATCCCGTGTACAAGGAGAAGATCGTCCGTTACCCGGTGTACAAGCAGGTGCACGTGCCCGTCAAAGTGCCATACGACAGACCGGTGCCCGTGCACGTTCCCGTCGTCAAGCAGGTGCCGTTCCGCGTTGAAAAGCCCGTGCCCGTGCCCGTCAAAGTGCCGTACATTAGACCGGTGCCGTACAACGTGTACAAAAACGTGCCCGTCCCGTACGAGAAGCCTGTTCCTTACCCGGTCGAGAAGCGAGTGCCATATCCRGTCCGAGTTCCGGTCCATGTTCCCGTCAAGATCGAAACAYATCATCATCAACATCAACAACAACAACAGCACCACAACCACTTCACGCAGCAGTATCATMCGCAGTCTGAAAAGTTCACCCATCAAGACGCCGTCGTAGATTTTGAAGGACACCAACAACAACAACAACAGCATCACTTTGTCCCGGGCTTTAACTCGCAGCACAATCACCATTCGTCGTTCTGATGACTATAGTGACACAAAGTTCATTTGATCGGTATAAACAGCTATAACCGATTAATTTGTTTAAAAAAAAAATTGTATGTACCTGTACCTATTATGCATTATTTTTAATGTTTTAAATATAATGTCGTGTAAATAATACTATAATATTATAGTATATACAATATACATGTAATATAAAATTATAATGAAACCATCGATTTGTGTAATTGAAAATTATTAATTTACATCATCCACATTCAACTGTATCGCATGTATGTTCGGAAGTTTCTATAGGAAGATGGATTGTTATAGGTACGGTAATAGGTACCAACATAGGCGCAATTTCAAATAAAAAAACTAAGCGTACTTAAGCTATGCATTTCGTCTTTTTAGTTTTTTTTCTTGTAAGAAGTTTTTGATATATAAGTAAGAACCTTCTTTTAAGGTGTTAATACCCCCTAAGCCCCCCCCCCAATTTGCGCCTAACAGGGTACTAATAATTATTTTTCAGTTTATTAATTACAAATATTTTTTTATTTTTTTTTTATAATATTGAATGTTGTCCTATAGTTTTTGGTATATGAGAAAAATCGATGAGAATAAAGTCATCTTTACGGTCAGGAGTGGACCAAGAGCGGAGTGGGAGATTAGCTGACCCACTACTTTTTTTTCAGTACTTATGACCCCTCAAAATGACAAACCACATAGCCTTTTTTYCGTTTGATATACAATTACAATAATCAAATAATATTAAATAATAATAATTTTTAAAATGTGCACAGGCTCAAGAATGTTTCTACACCGATACTGTTAGGGTTAACCCTTTGTTGATCAAATTTAGAATTAAAATTATTTTTTTCATAAAAACATGATAATATTGACCTATTGATAAACAAATGCATATTTAAAATTTTTTTTTTGAATTAAAATTTGATTTATAATCTTAGTACTTGGAATTATCATTGGTCATTTATCACATTATTTTTTTTTTACATGCAATTTATATGTATACAAATCAAAAAAATAATTTTTGCAAGATAAGTCTATAMAATTATTATTTTCTGTTTGAGTTCTAAATGTTACTAATTTATCCAAGTATGAAGTATGAATATGCATTTAATATAATTACAAAAATTTAAAATCTTTAACATTTGAATGATATATTTATTTTTAATTCTAAAAAATGTATATTAATTATCGTCTGATGTTGACATTGTTAATTCAAAGATATTGTTCATGTACATTGTTTACTTTATCATCTATTTGCATAGCTATTTTTCATAATTTATACCAGTTTTAGTTTTGTCTTATAGCTAAAGAAGTACTTGCATGTAGTATGTGCTAACTACTAATTAATTACAGTAAAGATAAATGCATTATATGATACACTTTTTTTTTGTATCAGGCCCCACTCAAAAAAAGAAAAAGAAAAGAAAAGAAAAATCCTGTCCGCCATGTTTTATTGCTTTTTTAATTATGGACATATTTTTGATATAAGCGCTTACATAAATTAGATTTATTTATGCTTTAAAGCATTTGTAAAATCTGTCTTCACATTTTTTGAGTTTACATCAAAAGTATTTCTAAAATGACCAAGTGGAGTGTGGAAAATCGTAAAATTAATTATTGTATTTGTGTTAACAGTAGGTATAGGTTAAGTTATAAAGGTAGATAAACAGAAAATAATAAAGACAGATTAATTTTAAATAGGGCAATGTTAAATAAAGCCAATTAGCTAATATTCTTTATTATCACAATAGAGTTATAGTTATATCAAGGCTCTCTAAAGACTTTGATTGTGGAGGTTTCATAACTTGTTTYAAATCAGTATTTTATCATTMTTTACCAAACACTGACAATCAGTTAACTACTATTATTTATTTAGTTTAAAACTGTATTTATTGATTGATTTGATTAACACATAATTCATAATACATAATATAATAGATATTTGATAAACAATTATTATAAATCTAATAATTATTAATTATATGACCTTATAATATTTTTATACTTCAACAATGAGCAGTTTTACCACCAACCAAACCCTTCTTGTTATACTTAAACACAAGACATTGGTTGTACCAGCTTGCTATACAATCATACTTAATATTAAAATACTGAAGTCATGTTGAGAATTTATATTGATTTAAATGTAAATAATTTTCATCACTAAATTACCTACCTAATTTTAATCAATTATATAATGGATTAAGAAAAGACATATTTTTCTAGTCAATAATATTATAAAAATAATATTTCTTTACATCAGTCAAATACAATCATTTAAAATCAATTATTAGCACAATCTTGCAAATTTTATTGAATTGTAGTACTTATAATTAACACATAATTTAATTTAGGTAGGCAATATATATATATATATATAACAGTATATACCATTCCTATTATAGATAAATGTAACAATTATAAATATAATATATAATAAAGTAAAAAACTAGTGTCTCAGMAGACAAAGCATAGATAAAAAAATTGTGATACAAAAATCATGATTTTATAATATTAATTATTACCAATTATCAACATATAAGCGAGCAGTGAACAAGTGAACCACTTGTCAGCTTACTATATGGAAGCTGTATTGGAGTGAAAGAGAAGATTCATGGTGAAATTCTGATGAAAGAATCTTCTGAACATGGTTTATCCGATTCCCACTGTACTACATCTACGAATGATGTTAGCCGGGTAATCAGTGGGGCTCTGAACTCGTTCGGGGCATCCTTCCATGCAATGTTCATGGCCTCTTCGGCTACTGCTAGCTTGTCCCTTTCGGATAACTGTTGTAGGTTACGATTCACCTTAAGTTCYAGCATGTACATGGCTTTTGCAAACTTCGGATTTTCTGAGTCGCACAGATGGTGCAGCCCCTTGGCCAATGACCACGGCAAGTCTTGCAAGTTTTCCAACACCAGCACTTCGTTCTTCTTAAGTGGCTCATTCAACTGAAACAAGTGGAAATAAATAAACCAATGAAGCTGAAGACTAGAAAATTGTGAATTTAAATAAATCCCTAAATCCTTGGTTGAACTAAAATAATGGGTGTATTTAGTTTAATAATTATCTCATTCAATACCAAACCAACCTCCTTCACACTAGTCAATCTGATTTAAAAAAATTTTGGCATAATCATAATGAAAAAAATCAAAACATAACTATGACGATTCACATTATTTACATATATAATAATTTTTTTATATTTTTTCATTCAGACAATTTACTTTAAAACTTTTTAATTCAGAAATATACTTTATCATACGTCAAAGAGAGCAGAAAAATGATATGTAAAAAATGCATTAACTCTTGTATTTCACTATTGTTTTGAAACAAATCTAAGTTCACTTCAAAAAATAACGAACCAGGCYTGAAATTGTGATTTAAAAAAATATATATATTATGGTAGGCACATAATTAATAGCAAATTTATGGGCTCTATTCAGTTATGATAATATTATAATGAATAATGACCAGTAAGAAGTTTATATTGATTGCTGTGACTTCATTATCTAAATGCTATTAATATCTATGTATACCTTTTCATATAGTTTRTCTTCATGATKGATGTCCGAATAACTAGACCACTCCGATCCATTCATCCATAAGCTTTGGTTAGAGTCAATAAATATATGTTTTTTGGCCAAAACGCTTGTGTAGAACGCTAAGCAGTCGGTAGTTTGTTTATTTGCATCATTATATAAAAGCATGAAAACAATCGGTTCACCTGGCGTTTGAAGCCGTAAAAAAGCGGCACCTAGTTTGTTTGCTATGCCCCGCTGCAGTGACGGAAAATGATCCTTTATTGACATCATCGTGGACTTCAATTTCTCTTGTGTGAGACCTTTGGTGTTAGAAGATGTGTAAAAAATAAAAGAGTAATTTGATAGGATTCCTAGTAACAGTGCTGTAAACATTAAAGCTGACCTAAAAGAAAACAAGCTTTTTATCAGAGTACCAGACTGTAGGTACTGTTGTTTCATTTTACCTAAAAATAAAATATCTTAGATTAAAATACTGCAGTAAGATGTTGTTATATAATATTTATAGGTTATAACTCCCCCCTCATATCGCTTTTTGATTTTTGAAATTGGATCAGTCGTTCAGACACTAGAATTTGCAATTTGCATGTTAAGATTTTAAAAATAACGCTTACAGTTTTCGGCTTGGCTATCCTGTAAGTGCTGTACATATTTTGTACTGTACTTGAAACCACGAGTAAGTAAATAAATTATTTTTGATAGAAAATTGTTCTAGAAAAATTTTTATGTTAAATTTATTTAAAACTCCTTTTTTACCCAATTTTTTCCCAAATTTTTTTTCTATTTTCAGCTTTTTTAATTGCACCAATTGTTGCGCCAATAATTTTTATGTTAAATTTATTTTATACCTATAGCATTTTACTACCAAACATCTAGAAGTTTTTTTTCGTCTCCCCAAATATTCAACACTTCAAACATCTTGGAGAATTCTCAGGTATTGTGGGAGTGGCCAAATTTTTAAGTAGGACATAAGTTATATAATACATAAGTTTAAGTATTCATAAGTTGATTTGGGTGATTATTTAGGATTTATGGAATCTTTTATAAAAGATTTTTGCTTCGTCAGTTATTGTTTTGAGTTTTAAGTCTGTGTGTAGTGTATAATTTAACACATAGGGTAGAACATTCATCAGTTTTCTAAGCCCAATATTTTTGAAAGGTTTGGATTTTTGAAATATTTGTTTTTTCCGCATTGCCCCAAAGTTGAAGGCCGTAGGTCCATAGTGGTTTTAATAGCATTTTGTATATAAGAAGCTTAGTTTTAGTGGATGTGTATTTATTATTGTATTGTTTATAATTAGATTCCAAAAATACGACTCGATAACTCTCAATTACCCAAAATCATTTTAAGAAAATTAGATTTCCAAAAATTCTTTTTTTCTGGACTAATCCACTTCCGTTTTACATATTATATAATATAGACTATAGAGTAAGCATAACAATATAATTCAAATAACTTAACATGAAAATYATAATTCAATTGTTTAATTTTGTTAAATAATAAATAGAATACMAAGAAAAATCAGTTATGGATTACCTATTCTTGACATAATTTATCATAAAGTGCAATAACAATTGTTTTGAAAAGATTTAATTTCTGTGAAATGATCTCTAAATTCTAACTAGGAGAGAGATATTAGGCAACAAATTAAATGAAACAGTAGAATAAAAATATTGGGTTTTACATCTTAATAAGTACAAGGTACATATTAAGAAACAAATAGTACTTTTTAGCATTCCCCCAAATATACTATCACTTTCCTGCTTATAAGACATTTTTGTTTTGGTTCCTTGAAAAGCTATAACAAATTTATTTTCTTTAGTGATATTCCAAGTAAAATATTTATTGTAATTAATTGCATAATTAATAAAAAATAATATACTCACTATAACTGGGGTATTTTAGCTTTCGCCACTTCGTAATTCGACATGTCTCACACAAATCGTTAACCAAATCAGGATTTTTATTGTATTTTACAATAAAMATTTGAAAATCTTTTAATTTGCTAAATTCAGTGTTAAGTTGTTTAACAAATTCTGGGGTATAATTCATTACTCTGGCTTCACATGAGTTACACTGCAATACATTATCAATTAGAACAATATTATAATTCTTAGTTATTGTTAATAGAAACTAATTAATGAATGTTTTTTTCGAGTTATGTTTTTATTTGTTTAAATTTCTGTTTAAATTTAGTAATCAAATAGGTATACAACTGTCAAGTAACAACTAAAGATACAAGACAGTATACACATCAATAATACGTATAAACATTATTTAATAATTATAATTTTTAAAAACTAAATTTCACAAAAAGTTTCCAAAAATGTGTACTGTCATTGTTTTGTATTTATTATAATATTGAAATGTGAATTCAACAATTTTTTTTTTAATAGGTAGCAATGTCAGAAATTTGTTCAATATTATGTATTCCAGTGGTATATTTTTTATAATTATTTTATTTTATGAATACATCTAACGAAGTAAACTATTTTTCTAGTAACCTAGGCACCTATAAAATTATTTTTTAAATATTTTTAAATCATTAATTTACTCGAAACAAATTTATTATATATTTAGAAATTAATATAACATCCTAAATAAATATATTATAACCTAAGTTTATGAATTTAAATTAAAGTATTACCTTAGACATTCAATACCGAATGTACTATAATACCTACATTAATTAGTTCTATGATATTATCCAAGACTTTATTGTAGATCAACACACTAAGAATGACATACCTACTAAAACAAWCTACRTTTCTTATGATAATAACTCATATAATTCAGTGGCGCCATTTCGGTTTTGAATAGAAAGGGGCAAAAGTTTTGACAAACTCCAATAGATAATTAAAAAAACCATTTGTTTCACTAACAAGCAAATTTTTACTTGTATGTATACTTGCATTTGGCATGGCCATCAATGATGGCCCATCATACATATTTATAATTTGGATATTTTTTTTTTTTTGTCTAATCTTTAAAACTAAACCTTTTTTTTTGAAGGTGAACTAGCGGCAACATAGGCCATTGGATGTGGGGTGGTACGGTAGGGGTTTCTTTGAGTATTTTTTTGTAGGTTTTTATGTTGGTATGGTTGTAACACGTGTTTGTGTATGTGTGGTAAGGATATGTTGCTAAAAATCCCGGGTGGTCACCCATCTGGGAGCTAGCAACTGCGGCCGGTATGTACGTTCAGTGTGTTTCCGCAGATTGAAYGTACAACCATGTCTCACATTAAACCTTTTTTTAATAACTAGATAAATAATTTACTAATTACAAGTATAAAGTAGCAAGACATTTAATAAAAAATATTCTAGAAAAATGACGCCACAGATGTTATTATCTATTTATTTTTATCCTYACAGCAAAGTTAATTTYTATATAGTTGTGTCAGTTGATTTCTGATAAAGGTTAGATTGGTGCCTACATAAATAATAAATATATATAGTATTAAATAATAAATATTWAGAAATGAGGTATATCTAGATAAATTATTGATTAAAATAAACATATCATGTAAAAAAAAGTATTTTACCTTTGGCAACTCCTCACAAATTACTGCCATTTTAATTCAGTCCAAAATTGTGTTCAACAGTAGAAATTCGTACAAAATAATTTTTTAGTGGGTAGGTATTTTCGAAAATTTATAAGGTTAATACATATCGATTGGAACACGACTATCTGCTTCTTTATGACGCTATGCACTACTCAATTAGACGAATTGGACTCGAACGACTACCTAGATCATTGGTAATTTTGTTGTGATAAACATTWAAAAAAATGATGATTCAATAATCAAAATTATTGTAAGTTAAGTGTTTAATTTAATCTTTTTTATATGTGTTTGGCTGTTGCTAAATGTTGTACAATTAATATWAATTATAATTAATTAACTATTTCAGTCAGTTTATTACTAATAGTTCACATACGTCGTCAAACATCCATATATGGAATAAGTAATAAACTAATAACTATTTACTATTATAGTATTATCGCAGCTTACATGAAAAATGAAAATATTTTGCTATGGATAGGAAATAAACTGTGCTTTTATCACAGAATAGATTAGACTACAGAACACTGATAAGAGAGTAAAATCAGAAAACTCCATGTTCCACGTTATTCTGTGGTTCCACCATAGACATAATAAGATATGGACTGCTACTCCTCCACACCCTGCCATAAGTTTATTGAAAAAAGRTTGTTAGAAAGAGATAGAGCATATTTTAGGTAAGAGAAAATGTAATATCATGTAGTAATAAACAAAAAAGGTGGCTTATTTGAAGTCATATACATATAAAATTCACTTAATGCATACAATGTTTTTTTTTTTTTTTATTATAGAACTTTCAGTAATAACTATAAGAATTCGACAATTATTTAAGATTATAAGATGTAAAGGTTACATGAGAAGATAAGATACAATAGTCCCGATGGACTGTCCGACTGTACAATACATAATTACAGATAATGATTACATAACCAATTAACGTACATACAATGTTTTAAATATAGGATTTAAAACTTTTTTAACATCTTCTTAGCTCTTTAAAATGTAGGTAGAGTACTTATAAAGAAATATAAAAATGAATCTAGGAAAAAAATTGACACAAAATAATGACATAAAAAAAAATCATTAAATGTATTTTATTTAAAAATCACAAATATCAGTTTTAAGCAGAGACATAAAATTAACACATGAACATCAGATAATAAATTTTTTATATTTGGTCAATTATAAAATTATAAAATTAAAATATAAAAAAATGAAATAGTTAGGTAAATAATAATAATAGTAGGTGATAATAATATGAAAATAATAAATCTGAAATCATCTATTGATTTTTAAAATGAATAATCTTAGTTAAAAACSATCGTATGCGTTCTTTTGGCTGACTCTCACTCAGGGTAAAGTGATTCACACGAATTCTGAAATAAGTTTTTAATATTAAATGTGTAAGTTTTAGCAAATGATTATCTAATGGATTTTGATTCAAAAAATGATCAGCTAATACAATAAAAATATTTTTTAGATTAATTTGTGAAGAAGCTTTAATAATTAAATAGTTGATAATATTGGGTTTAATTGGTATCAAATTTTTGTAAGAGTTAAAAATTCGTTCAGCCACTTTACATAAATAGATAACATCTAGTATCTACTGATGGGTTTATTAATCCTCCACGTGATTTAATATTTATTAATGATCCACTTTCGGTATTAGTTCGAGTCAAAACTTCAGTACATTCGTCACAAATTAATTTCCGTGAAATTTTTCGGACAATGAACCCTGCTATGTACTCCACAATATCTTCAACGACTTGTTGTAAAACATTAAATCGGTTTGTATTGAAATTAATGTCGTTTTGTCGGTTTTGAAGTGCTACTACTGACTCACAAAATCTTTGTCATATCCATCACCATACAATTTGCTCCAGATGATGTAATTATTTCTGTATGAACACTATGAACCAATAGTCTTTTAAAAGAACTTTCAAACTGTAAAGCAGCGGGATTATTGTTAAAACTTCCTCTTGAACGGATAGCTGAGAAAAATATTTCAAGGTGATCTTGGCTCATTTTATATGTTAATAAAAAATCTAATTCTTTTATCATAACTAGATCAATAAACATATTTTTGATGCTTTGTAATGAAATTATTAATCCAATGAACCCAGTTTTTCTAGTGGATTTGATGACAGGAACTATTGTTTTACTACCATCTTTACCAATTTCACAGTACCTATAATGATTGCAAGTATTAAATKGAGTTTTCAATAAAATTAAATATGTCACTTTTGTTTTCTCTTTTTAAAGGTCTTTTGTACTGTGACTTACTTCGTTATTGTTGTTTAAAAATCTTCCATCGAAGTAATAATGTAATAGATATTTAATAAAGTAATTATTGAATATTGACGGSCCGCCAAAATGTCTGTSATAAAACCATTTCAAATTGATAAATGTGTTCTTAACTCCATGAAATTATATAATATCTTCCATGATACCTAAGTTATGTCTTGTCTCTTTCTATTGATGTAGACTATTTACTTCTCTCTCTACTAGCAGTCTATATCTTATTATGTCTATGGGTTCCACCGACTATCGAGATAACGATTTATTCATAAATTCATAATTTTCAAATTTCAATTTTGATTAAAATTAAAAATACCACTACAACATTTAACAAATAATTCTATAATTAATGCTTAGTGTATACTTGCCTGTGAGTCAGATTTTTCATTTGATTCATTAAATTCAAATGCTAGCGGATTAACCATTATGGATCCTAATATTCCAAATCGTAAGTTTTAGTAAAATTTGTTTGTTACACTGTTACACATCTATCTGATGATAAGTATTAAGTAACAACATACTTTAGTTTATTATTCTGTATGCTCTTAAATTCCAAATGGAAACTGCATATTCATTTATGATTTGCAATTTATATTTTGATATATTCAGATTGCCCGGGCACTGAAAGCTCATCTGCTGGTCAAGTATCTGCATGTCAAGGATGTCCTAACCAAAATATTTGTGCATCTGGTGTAACTCAACTTCCTGACCCAGGCAAGAAAAAATATATTTTATGTTGTATATTTTTTTTTAATTGTTCTTGGCAATTTAGCTTTAGATGTATTAAAACATCGACTGTCTTCAGTGAAGTATAAAATACTCGTACTGTCTGGCAAAGGTGGAGTGGGTAAAAGTACATTCACATCGTTATTAGCTAGAGTATTGGCCAACGAAAATGAACAGAAAAATGTAATCATATTTTATTTTCTTAATACYTTTTTGTATACAATCTGATAACTTGTTCATTTACAATTATTTTTAAATGTTTAGATTGGAGTCTTAGATGTTGATATTTGTGGACCATCACTTCCTCTCGTATTTGGTGTTGAAGATGAAAATGTTTGTACTTTGTTTATTAAAAGTTTATTGACATTTTTTTGATCAATTTGTTTAATTTCTAGATACATCAAAGTGGATCAGGATGGTCTCCTGTGGTAAGAATAATAGTATAGATATTTATATTAGTGATATTTAACAGTTCAAACAATCTAAATAAAAATAAAAATAAATTATATTTTCATTTTAGTTTGTTGAAGAAAATTTATCGATCATGTCTGTTGGATTTTTGCTAGAAAGTAAGGATGATGCTGTAATTTGGAGAGGTCCCAAGAAAAATGGTGATTTTTATTTATTTTACTTCTTGAAAACATTAAAAATATATTATAAATCCTTGATTATTAGGTATATTTCTATAAGTATTATTATTAATTATAGCTATGATCAAACAATTTTTGACTGAAGTTGATTGGGGTGACACATTGGACTACTTGATTGTTGATACTCCACCAGGAACTTCTGATGAACACCTTTCATTAGTCCAATTCCTTAAATCAACTGAAAACTTTTCAGCAATTGTTGTTACTACTCCTCAAGAAGTTTCTTTGTTAGATGTCCGTAAAGAATTGGATTTTGCCAGAAAAGTTGGGTTACCTGTATTGGGTGTGGTTGAAAATATGTCTACTTTTGTTTGTCCTAAATGTAAAGTAACATCTGAAATATTTCCAAAAAACACTGGAGGCGCTGCTCAGATGTCACTTGAAATGGGTGTTCCATTCCTTGGATCAGTTCCTTTAGATCCTTCGTTGGGACGATGTTGCGATGAAGGTGTCAATTTTATTCAAAAATATGCCGGGTCGCCAACRGTTGTAGCTATTAAAAATATTGTTGAAAGTAAATTGATACAATATACTATTAAATATTTAAAACAAAAAATAAGTTTTTGTTCTTTGATTAATCAAACATTTTGATTTTTCAGATGTAACCAGGAATTTACAATCAATTTGATAGAGCTGTTAATTGTGAAATGTTATTATTTTTTTATAATATCCTATATAATTATTAATAATGCAAATAAAATGTCTGTCGAGATAACAAATCTGAGTTTTCTGTTTTAAAAATTGTTTTAATATAAAAAATAGAAATAATTTAGTTATGATAAACAATATATTTTTATAATTATACATTTTGTATTTTATTGAATTTATTTTCTAAGTCATAAATTATTCAAATAAACCTAATTAAACATTAKAGCCATAGGCATGCTACTATCACATTTAGTGTTCATGGTCAAGAGAAAGTTGGTAACCAATCAAGATGGTATGACACAATGTTTTTATGATTATAAAATGTTAATGTGGGCTTATATACCTGTTACTTACAGTGGAATGAAACACAATTTGATCACTTGATTTTGTTAGTTTATATTTATTGTATGCAAACTTTTTGACTAACCATAAACATGAAGGTGAGAAAATAGGTTTATATAATTCTTATTTTCTTATGATTAATATTATTTCAATGTTACAAGTTATAACATTATTTTCACGCTTTTTCAGTTACACATTCTTCTAACCCTAGCTTTATGGGGTATAGTATCTGTATTGGGTGCAAAATTTGAAGCTTTTTATCCAAGAGAAGCATATGGAGTGAGCAACGGAGCATCTAGATCACCTCACGGTCACGGATCATTCTACAAGTACAGAAACCCAGCTCTTGTAGATGCTAAAAATTCTCCTGCTTATGGATACAGATTTGATGGGAAAAGGCGTTTCAATTTTGATAAATAATTTATCTATATAATATGTATTTAAAATTAGTATTAATGTATTGTTCGTCAATAATAATAATAATAATAATAATAATAATAATAGTAAACAAATAGTAAGAAAAAGCAGCAGAATATAGATATTCAAATAAAAGTATATAAATTATAAAGTGACTAATTAAATGATTACTGACTGTATTATAGCAAAGATTTAACAATAATAAAATATCACTTAAAGTTCATAAAATAATTAAACTTATTTATCAGATCCTCTCTTAATAAAAGAATCATTGCCTTACATTGCATAGTCATAAGTTAAATTAATTTTAATGTAGAATTATTTAATATTATTAGGTATGAGAAGTTAATATTAAAAATATGTTAATACTGTTCATATCACTAGACCTGTAGATAATTATCTACTTTAATCTTAGGAGCTGGCCGTGAAAAAGGTGACAGCCAAGTAATAGAAACCCTGCCAAACACAGCTTGTAAGCTCTTCCATTTAGATTTTTTCATCCACCGAGCTTCTTCCTTTTTTAATTGTTCAATACCCTGGAATAATTATTATAAGACATTAATATTATTTTATATTTATTTAATAACCCAACTATCACTCAACCAATTAACGTTWAATGGATTTAACTGTAAATAAAATATTTAAAAATGAACGGTATAACATACAATATGTTGTAACACATAAAYATTAAACATCATGTTCATTTACAAAATATACATTTTGTTTTGTTTTTTATAGATAATTTTATACACTTATTGCACTTTAATTATTTACAAATAGTTACTTGTTAGTTACAAGTAATAATATTGTTAATTCTTATGCTTTATTGCAAGAAGAAATACTTTACATCYAAACTTAAATGAAAACAATTATTTATTGAAAAATTATCTTAATTCTTTCGAAAAATTTTTGAGCTAAGAATAAACAATAAAAAGAAACGGTTAACATATCAATGATAAAAATAGTATGTAAGCTCATTGWACGCAATTTTTATGGATCATAAACTAGAGACATAATTACCGTTTCATCAGAACATATGGCTTGTAATTGAGTGGCAAACATTACCATGGTAAATATTGCAAATAGCAATGCTTCAAAACCTAAAAATATCAAAAAAACTACTGTTGCAGGAGGTGTATACCAAGAACATTGCTTCCATTCGGAATGTAAACACCAAACAAATTGGCTGACACACAAGTACAATGCGTGCATTGACATAGCAGCAATATAAAGCTAAAGAACAAAATTTTAAAATAGTAAAATATTGATTGTGTACACTGKACGCTAAATAGGGAATATGTAATATAGATACCGTAAATAATACAAAAAACTTTTGGTTTTTCTCTCCAACACAATTGTTGACCCATGGACAATGATGGTCCATTTTTCTAATACATCTAAAAATAATAATACAGTTTGATTATAAATAAGTTATTTTATGTATTAAAARTTGTTTTAGTGAACCTTTGGCAAACAGAACAGTGATGGGCTCTTGAAGGTTTAATACAACAGCATTTTGGACACTTATATATCACTTGACCCTCGCGTAAACCTAAATGTTGTATCATTTCTTTTGTAGCATTTCCTTTTGGCACTGCACCCTGTATATTTCAATAATAAGATTTGATTAAATTATTGATGGGCTAGTATTACAAGTTCAATCATAATAGCTTATATGTATAAACTGATAAAATCAATGCAAGTAAACATACTTCATATAATTTAAAAAAAAAAAAAATAGTGGTAATGTAGCATGTCATGATATTTGTTATGTGTTGGCAWTAAAATAAAAATCTGAACTTTACTACATATAACTTAATGATAAMGAAATCTTGATGACCATATATTTATGAATTATTTCCTGACCTACTATACTAAATGTATCTTAGGTTAATATATGTAATAATGTTGACTAGCTAATAAAATAAAATATGCATTGAATAAATACAAGTAAGTACAGTATTAAATTATAAAATATACCTAATTTAGATTATATTTTTATCTTCAATTAAATTATGTATACATTGTAATGTATAAGAAGGATAGTGAGATTATGTAAACATACTGGATCCGTGAACATTGTGCGCAGATGAGAAGCCATCGCAAGGAAGGCAAAGATTTGAAATATCACCATGTTGACACACTGAAAAATAGGATACGGACATGGTAATAGTGTGACGAATGTCACTACGAACTCAGCATACAGTATCAACAGCCACGTGAATATCGCACAAATAATACCGCATATGTCCTGGATAAACAAATAGTAGTATRAGCGCAAATACAAGAAATTAATTTTATAATTTTTACCTGAATACACCACATGGAACCACCGCAGCATCGGTTGTGCGGATCTACTCCYTGGTTYGGATAAAAAATCACTTGATCATTGTCATCCATTGCAGTCGTCTTTTGTGCCACTCAGAGGGTTGTAGGCGTCGTTCATAATTCACGAATCGACGTTAGACCACAGACTGACGATATTTGGACAGTCATTTCAGGTCGTCGTAGTGCTTTTATGGACTATGCTGCTGGTGATGTTTGTTAAAAATATTGTTAGTAATTAAAACGATGACTGCTTCATAAATGACGCGTCGTACAGATTTCGGATGTAAGTGATCGGGGACAACTGCGAATACAATAATTATATCGACATCATGACGACAAAGATCTACTACATAATTACTATTATGAATTTAAAATTTAAAATTTGGATGCCTTTCTTTATCATCTTTCTTTATCGCGTACGAAAGTAGTAAAGTACGAAACTCTGATTTGTGTCTACTATCAGCCACTGACGATCAACAGCGCCAGTCACGGCGGCACCGGCATGGCTATATATACTTTAATAGTGTAATAATAATAATATAAAGAATAGAGACACCTATTTCTTATTTGTTGTATTTTTGATTGGTGTAATTTGTCATGTTGTATATTTATATTCAGTGGCGACTATCCTCAAAATAAAAAGTGTGGCTGGAGATATTTTTGAAGGCCCACCACCCGTCTACAATAAGGGTGGGTAGCTGTTTCTAGTTGAAGATATAATTTCACCGTGTCATCCATCTGCAGGTAGATACCACGAAATACATCAAAATAATTCCATCTACATATTTTGATCAGAGACCAGAGCATTGAATGATTTTTTAATTGAGGCGGAGGCGCTTGAAAATTAATAATTACAATTTTATTTTTATTCTTTCAGGGTAATAGTTTCACTAGTTTCAGACGTTAAGCTGCAGGGGTATTTGAAAAAGTTTATACAACTTTAACTTCTCGACTTTTACAGTCGAAAAAATACTATTATCATCAACTTTGATGGAGATTTTTGGTAGAAAGTTGGATCTACAGATAGGTTAGGTAGAACATTTGGTAGGACATTTTAAATTCTCAGCACTTTAAAATAGGTAATCGAAAAAAATTTTAATTAATATTTTTAATAAAAAACTGTAGAATATTATATATAATAGGTATATAGACATAGCTATTTATAATTAATAA